GCAAGGGTCCTGGAAGGCTCACCTGGACCCTTACGACGCTCCCCCCCACGGGGCCAGCGGGGACAAAATTGCTGCCTTCGCTCCATAAGACATTGGGGGGGGGGGAAGTGCATCTTATGGAGCAAAAAACACAGTATCTGGTTGTGGAGTTCAATTCCCTGCTGTGCCTCCTGGGAGAAGAGCCAGCCTAGGTGACCTTGGGCAAGCTGCGCCATCCCAGGGCACCCCCAGAAGAAGGGAATGGTAAACCACTTCTGAGAATTCTTTACCTAACCCTGAAAAGGGTATGGTAAAGGTAAAGGTTCCTCTTGACATTTAGTCCAGTTGTGTCCAATTCTAGGGTGCGGTGTTCATCCCCATTTCCAAACCACAGAGCCAGCGTTTTTCCATAGACCGTTTCCATGGTCACGTGGCCAGCGCGACTAGACACAGAACACCGTTAACTTCCCGCCGAGGTGGTACTTATTTATCTATTTGCATTTACATGCTTTCAAACTGTTAGGTTGGCAGGAGCTGAGCCAAGCGACGGGAGCTCACTCCATCGTGTGGATTCAATCTTACGACGGCTGGTCTTCTGACCTTGCAGCACAGAGGCTTCTGTGGTTTAACCTGCAGCACCACCATGTTCCCTGAAAAGGGTATGAATAAGTGCTTCTACTCTTGTGCACCAGCAACTGTTAAAACATCTTGCCACAAAGCTAGTTTGAGGGATGTGTCAAGAATGTCATTTCAGTGATGTGCACACAGAGAAAACACCCAGCTGCTTTCTGAAGTGGGGAGGGAAGATGAGAGCAGCGATAGCATGAATTTCTTGCCAAGACATCATGTGAGGGGGGTGGTAGGTGGGGAATGCATTCAAGACATTTAGCTTGTCACAAAGCTCGCTTGATGGGAGCCTTGTCCGACTTGGTATAAAAGCCTGGGCAGGTCATACTGCTGAGGTTAGGCTAGTGAGACTGAAAGAGAAGACTATAAAGGGGAAAAAAGCTGTTTAAGGAATTCTGCATGGGAGCATGAGAAAAAGCACCTCTCAAAAGACAAGAGCGCTGGTACAAAAGGTTCACTTGTGCAGTCAAAACTGGCTTAGCACAGCACATGAGAAACAGGAAGAACTTTTATCTACAAAGCCGTGCAAGGAATCCAGACGTTACGTCCCAGCATTGAATGCCACCACTTGTAAATAACTGAGGCTGCTGATGCTTCCATTTCTCTTTTGAATGACTCAAGCCAAAAGACAAGAGTGCTGTCCCATGATGATGAAGACAGAAGTTATTATTGACCCATGACAGAGGACGGCCGCAGCCCTTGCTTACGAAGGCTCCTGGGGATCTCAGCCGTTGGTCCTCCATAGAACTGGATTGCCCTACGAGGGTTTGCCAGTTGTTGTTGTTTTTTTTGTCACCCACCCTCTTTTCAGCTTATTAAAGGTTTGTGCAGGAATTGCAGAACCTGCAGCCTCACAACAAAGCTTTCTCAGCTTGTTTTAAGGCAAAGCTGATGCTTCTGTTTCTGGCTGGCTTTCTTGAAGGGCTGAAATACAAAGAATTGCATTCCTGCCTGTAATTGCTTGCCAAGAGGATGCATCCCCGATTAACCGCTACGTCCTCATCCTTGGATAAGTAATTCTTGATGATCTTCCATCCGTGCTATTTCTTACCTCGACTGCCCACTGCAGCTGCTTCTTTTGCTAAATCTCGGCTCTCCTCCCCTCCTCCTGAACCTCATTGGAAGGCTAGGCTCTTGCCAGTACTCTCCCTCTCAAGAAAGACAGATGCTCAGCAGTCACAGCCCCTGAGCATCTGGCTTTGGTGGGACAGCTTGTGTGCATCTGTCACTAGCTTGCACCTGCCTGCAGGCAAAGCTAATAGAATGCTAATCTGGGAACCTTGCCGAGCGTACTAGTATCAAGGGCAAAAAGGAAAAGAAAACACACACATTTAATAATTCACCTTCTGCAGAGCAGGCAACGATCCATGCTCCACTCAGAAATTAACAAGCAGGCCGTGAAGCTGGTTGTTACCGGCTACGGGTAGTTGTATACAGCTGGTAAGTAGTGGTATATATGGTCTTTAACCATGATGTTTGTATTTAAGTTCCTTATGTATTTAAGCCACATTGTGTCCTTTGTCAAGGAGAAAGGTGGGATAAAAATACTGTAATTTTATAAATAAACGTTACTAGGAAGCTGAGGAGAAAGGTGGGATAAAAATAATTTAATAAATAAATATTACTAGGAAGCCACTCTCCAAAAGCCACAATTTTGGCCGAAGCTGTGCTTATAAAGTGAGATTCGATAGAAATGAGTGTTTTGGGAGAAAAGTGTTGTCTTTATGAGCACATGGATAAACAATTCAGCATGCAGTTAAAAGGGCTGCAGAAATTTATGTCCAATCTAAAAATGGCAGTTCATCAAAGAATACAGGAAGAACTAAGTCTAGGTAAAGTAGTGCCATGTGAAAACTGACAGCCCCTTCTGCCTGGGAGGACTACAGCAAAGGCAGGCCTGTGTGTGTGACTTTCTGCACAACGGTGTTAATACCTGCAGCTGATTTCTATGCTTGGGTACATCAACATATTTTCATAGCCATCATAGGGTCTTTCTGCGTGAATAATGAAAACAAAAAGCAAAATAGAAATGAAAGTATAGTTGCACAGAACTGTTATTTTTAGAAATGCACATAATCGACTTATAGCACCCTATAAATGAGTGACTTTAAGGGTCCTACCCTTAGTAACTCTACTCTGATCTTACAAACTCAAGGTTCTGGGCTTCCTTCGCTGAGATCATGCTTTGCTTAGTCTTCGTTTTCTTCCTGCTGTCTTCCACTTTGCCCAGCGTATTGTCTTTTCCAGCGAGTCTTGTCATCTCACACAATATGAACACTTTTGCTTCTACAGGGTGTTCAGGCTTAATTTGATCTGCCCCCACTCATCTTTCTGGCAGTCCATGGTACTCACAAAGTTGTTGCCTAATACGACATTTTGAAGGAGTCAATTATTTTTTCCTTGTCACATTTCTTCGTGATCACAAACAATTATGCTTTGAGGTTTTTTAGGGATAAAGTCATTAAATATAGCTTACCAGTCTCTTCCTCTACTTCAAAAGGCTATATGGAGCTGGGGACTGAATGCACTTTATATATATGCATACAATCTGTATACTGTATAAAAATACATGGCAATCCACTGGGCCAGTCATACAATATTTCAATGAGTGTGCAATTTCACACATCTAGGTTTGGGTGGAATATAATGACTTGAAAAGGCAATACACTGCCATCTGCCGGGACAGAACAATAACACACTTTGACACCTACAGGAGCATTTCCACACAGCTTACTAGTCTCGCAGTTCTTTTATTATCTTGTCCCTTGGGTTGAATGTTAAAATGGCTTCCTTCAGAATTAAACTAGTTCATGGCATTATTCTGAAACATGTGATGTTCCCTCTTAGCATGCAGTTTGCCCCTGTCCTGTGGTATGTAGCTTCGTCATCCAGAGTTTGTGACAGGAATAGTGAGGCCTAGTCAAAGCCTGCTCCACAGCATAAAATAATAAATAATAATTATAACAATAAGTTGTATCTATAATATCAGTCAATATTTCTATAATTTTGATTGACTGTGCCTGGTATTTTTTAATAATAATAATTAAGTCACTTCTAACTTAAGAGTCATCCTCTTCAGAGTTTTACAGGTGGAGAGTACTGAGGTTGTTGACCTCCTTCTTCTGGGGACATCTTGGGATCATGCAGCTTGCCCAAAGCTACACAGGCTGACTCTGACCCCTAAGTGGCAAAGTGGGGCATCAAACTCCCAGTCTCTGGATCCATAGGTCAGATACCTAAACTTCTAAGCTATCCACCCAGCCTGCACCACAGTATAAGGCAGATCTAAATATGTGTATTAAGGTCTTTGAAGGGTGCAGCCATTTCGTCTGTTAGAATCTGTTAAGAAATCAAATAGCAGGGGTATTTGCTACATGAACCCACACATAACTGCTTGTGTAGGAAGTTACTTTCAACTCTTGATAAGGGTAACTGTGGTGTAAGTAGAAAGCAGGACCTGAGGAAGTTCAACTTTTCATATCTATCCAACATCTTCACAAGGGAATAAAAATAAAAAATTAACCCTAAAATGGGCCAGTTCATTTTTTAAAAGAAGAAAAAACTAACTAAATAACTGTATAGAAATGAACAAAAGTTACTTGAGAACCAGGCTAGAATAATGCAGAAACCAAATTTAGAAAAGCTTCCCCCCCCACACACACAAAATAAGCAAAATGCAAATCAAGCAAAACCACACATTTAAACAGAAGAATCCATAAATGGCAACAGCCTGTTAAATCATATTTTGACATGTAAAACTGCATTATCAGGAGACCAGATGAATCTCCTCTTCTGCTGCACTACCAGAACAGAAGGAAAAGCTGCTGAAATGCACCACTGATAAGCAATACAAGAGTTAGGTTTGCCCATCACAGCACAAAAAAAGGCATCAAAATATAAAATGTTTATTTTATTAAACGAAATGTACAGATATATACACAATGCTTTAGAAAAAGGCATCCCCATTATGTCATACACTGGAGGTGGGGTGGGAGAAATGTCCGAATTTTTAAAAATATATGCTTTTCTACAGGTTCTGGAGATGCTCCGTCCCTAAGATATCACATCTAAGATTCAAGCATATCAGTCCTTGAAGGCCAAGCAGTCGCTGCAGAGGACGTGCTCTCCGACATCATCAGATCTAGAAAGAAGGTGGAAGTCAATTAAGCACAGCCTTCCATTTAGTCCATTCGTGGAAAAAGATGTCCCTTGACACAGAGGATTTATTTTGCTGCAGAGGGTAAGAGCTCTGAGGGATCAGGTACATTCGGGAGCCCAGGCTCTTGTGGCAGCAAATTCCAGCCAGGAATGATAAGACTGGGTGAAGATGTCCCTTTTGTCCGGAGCCAACCAGTGGAGTTAACCTGTGGGTACCAAGCCCACTTCCCAATTGTTCAGTCTTGCAAGTAGGAAACAAGCCCTCCCACTTTCCTCAGGCAACCTTCCACTTGCAACACAAACCAGCTCCAGAGGGCTAAGAAAACCCTGTTCAGTACCATGGTGGATGATGGGTGAGCAAACCAAACTCCCAATGTTACTGTGAGCATCACACAGGATTTAGGTCCATGTTTCAGGACTCAACAGGAGAAACATTTCTGGAGCCTCGTCCCCCTACCCTCTCCAGCAGCCTTTTCCTCTGGCTAGTTAAGCCCAAACACCCACCATCACCCCCATGTAGAAAAGATAGATCTCTCCATTGTTTGCTCCTAAGCAGAAAAATGCATTCACACTAATCAACAAAAAGGAAATGACATAAAGCTAGAAATGCTATTCTCTCTCAGAATCGTTCAGTGTTAACCAGGTTTCAGCTTCAGTCCAGACTTCTGAACTCATGCCTTTGGATCTGTCTTGTGTTCTTTCTGGAAACGTCTAAATCTTCTTTGGTTAAAGAGTCAATACTATTTATTATTAGGCTTTTTAGTCAGCGAAGATGGATTTTTAAGGGTTTAATAGGACTGTTTGGATTTTTGTTTGTACTTTCACCTATAAACCATTTATATTATACTGCTATGAAGAGCAGTATATTAATGTAACAAACAATGCTATTTGTTATGCCCGCTAAGATAGCGCCATCCATGCCATTTTCAGTGGCGAGTTGCCATAAGTTAAGAGGTTGGCATAGGAATTTTACATCTAGTTATGCAATTTCTTAATGTGCAAGAATCTGCCACTAAAAGTTATGCTGACTGGGTTAAACAAACCTAACAGGATTTGGGTTATTAAAATAAAACACACCACAGCATGCCTTTATACTGATGTTAGCATCCCTCCCCTCTCTAGACCAGTGTGTTAATTATTGCAGTTGCCATACAAAATGCTGCACTCCAACACAATCAAAGAATGTTTAATGCAAGTCTAATCTGTGGATACTTACTCTGTGATGGAACATAAGGAACAAGTGATGGAGTTACAGCAACTGCAGAGTTTGCTGCAGTCCGGGCAGATGTACCGATCACACTGTGCGCAGGCTTCTTTGACATCAACTGTTCTCACACATGAGGAGCAGGCCTTTGAAACTCTTACAGCCAGTACTGTACAGAAACACATGATTTCTAAGTCAGAATATCAGCACCAAATGTCCAAGAAAAGCTTCCCCATCAGAAAGCAGACACAATCTTCACCACCATCTGGACAGGAAATAGATAAGTGAAGTGCTTGGTGGGTTCAGCACTTGTAACGGCAGAAAGAAAAGCATGCCAACAGTCCAGGGCAAGAAACAAAAGCACAGGCTTTTCTCTGTGACCCTGGATGAGATGAGTTCTCACAAGTTTTGAAGACTTTTGAAACAGCTAAACCACACCCCCAAGAGAGGCAGATTCTTCTTTCAAAACAACCCATAGAACATTATGTCTTAATTGATGTTTATTGTTTACTTATGCATGAACATAAGGTGTACTGGCGATCACATTAATATTGGACTCAGTAACCTTAACCTTAGAACTGTAGAGCCGGAAGGGTCTGTAACACTGGCGATCACATTAATATTGGACTCAGTAACCTTAACCTTAGAACTGTAGAGCTGGAAGGGTCCGTAACAATCATCAAGCCCAACCCCTGCCAAGGAGGCACAGTGGGGAATCGAACTCCCAACCTCCGGCTTTGAAACCAGAAACCCAAACCACTGGGATACCCAGTAAATGAAGACAGCAGATAGCAGGGAGATAATTACCCAAGAACTTAAGAGCCAACTAATCCCACTTACCTGTTTCGCTTGGACTAGGCTGTTGAAGTTTTCCATCCTGACCAATTAACATCTGCCCACTACTCCTAGGCCGAGAACAACCTTGTAGCCGGTCAGCAAGTGGCTCTGGATAGTGTGCGGTGAGGCTTTCTTTTCCTTTGCTCCCAACGCAGGCACTCTCCATATAAGCCTGGGCACCTTGGAAGAGGAGCTGTTTTGTTTTTTCTGCAAGATGAACAAGGACAAAAAAAAAGACATGAGTATTATCAAAAACAATCTAAAATGGTTTCCTGTCGCCAGACTGGCCACTCCAATGGGGCAGTAAAGCAAAAAACATAAAGCTACCTTCTACAAGGTCAGATCAGGGTGAACCCTGGTGAGCTGAAAAGCAGTAAGCAAATGCTTTAAATAAACAGCACATAAATACTTAGTTCTGTATTGTCTATTACACCAACCTTAACCTGGTGCCCTCCAGTTCCCACAATCCCCTAGGCCTAGCCCATCCAGGCTGGACTAAACTAACTGGCAACAAGGATCTTTTCCAGGCCCAACTGGAATCAGGGATTGAACTGGGGATTTTTGAAAGCACTGAGCAACTGCTTTTCTCCATTCCAGCTGGGTGCATCATTATCTGTGCTGCTAATGAGGAACAACAATCCATACAAGTCACCAGAAGCATCAATGTTTCTGCAGCCTGACCGCCAGGAGTTAAGGTTTTTTGTTCCCAATTTCTAGGGTTCACAAAAGACTTACGAGGTTCACATACTATCTTGAGGACAGCCTCCTTATGAAGTACTGTATCTCCTAATTTCTTTCATAATGAAAACACCAGTGCATATCACATCACAAAGCTCATCATCCACAGCACAGGGCAGAAGAGTCATACATGGAGGATGGACAGAGTTTATACATACATGATTTTTATTTCAGTTCTAGAGGCTAGGTGTACATATGCTGATATTACACATATGCCACAGGCAGCCTGTCACCTGTTACTGTTTGATTTATTACTGAGCTGCAAATGACTAAGAATGCAATAAATCTGGTGTACATTATATTTTGAGACAGAAATGTGTAACTGACTTATGCCATCCAAATGTTTTCTTTTCCTAGATCCCTACAGCTGTATTCATCTTCTACACCAGAAAAAAAAAGTACTTAGAAAATAATTATGTGTGTGCAGGGTTTGAGAAGGAAGAATGATGATGTGCTAAACTTCCCTCTTCCTCACCACTGTCATCCCTAGCTCTTTGAGCATCGCATCTGCTTCCGTGCAATTGTGTCAAAGGAATAAGGTTGAATGTATTCTCGAAGGTTTCATGGCCAGGATCCGATGGTTGTTGTAGGCTTTTCGGGCTGTTTGGCCGTGTTCTGAGGGTTTTTCCTAATGTTAGAACTCCTTTCCTCTGAAAATGCCAGCCAAGAGACTGGCGAAATGTTACGAAGAAAAACATCCAGAACATGGCCAAAAAACCTACAACGACCGAATAAGGCTGACATCCAAAATTACACTCCAACACAGCCTATTTCTTTGGGCTGCTGCTTCCTGCACCATAAAAAAAGATAAGAACAGAGCTGCATAGAAACAGACCGGCCAGCATTCCTTCAGATGTTTCTGGGTAACAACCTACATGCACAAAGTAGGCCGAGCTTGGCTGGTCTGGAAAGATCAAATGTTCATACTGAAGAGGCAGATACGATGCTCAGAGCTAAGGATGACAACTATGCAATCAGCAAAGTCGGGAGACATCATCACAAGAAAAAAAATGGACTGAACTTGCTTGGAAACTAACCCAATGCTGGCAGCACGATGGGAAATGCAATCAAGCTTCATAAGTTTGGCAACTGCTTTCTGGGGCCCCTGACATATTAAAGGGAGAGAAGCTACTTGAACCCCGCTGCCAAAGGGCACCTAAAGACTAAAACGCACGCACACACACACGTCCAGAAGAGAACAATGGGGGGCGGTTAGCTGGCCCTGGACTCATTGGGATGTTGCACCTTTACTGTCTCACTTCTCTCTGCCTTTGTGAATCACTGAATCTTTTTTTACTTTAAATTTTTTCAGCCACTTTTGCCAGATGCTTCCGTCTTGAGTGAAACCGTCCTAACAGACACAGTCAACATGAAATTCCTTCCGAGTTGCCTTCAGTGTATCCTTGAACCATTTCTTTTGCCTATCAAGCGACCAAGCACCTGCAGGAAGCTTTGGAAGATACAGCCAGACTGCCGAAGTCGTTGTTGCTTCAAAATGGTCAAAACCACTTGGCATCTGTGTTTGCTCCAAGACTTCAACGTCAGGGACCACATTCCGCCATTTGATGTTGTGACTTTTCCAAAGACCGATAAGATGAAAATTACCGAGCCTTCTTGCACGGCATTGATGTATAGTCCAAGACACTGCTCCATAAAGCAGAAACTACGGAATAACAGCTTTGTACATACATATTCATTTATATTGATTTATTTATAGGCCACTTTTCTCCTGATAAGGAGACCCATTTCTCTTCGTGGATAAAAGGGAGCCCTCTGCACATGCCCAGAGATGCTCGTTTCTGTTTTGGCATTGTTTTTTCCCCCATAACCTTGCACCTGCTGGATCAGGTTCTGAGGCTAAGGGGAAATATATATTTGAAAAAATGCAACGCTAAAACAAAACCAAGAGCATCTCTGGGCATGTGCAGAGAGGGCTTCCCTTTACCCACGAAGAGAAACGAGGCATAGCTGAACGCAGGAAATGGGGGAGAAATGAGAGATGCAGGAGCTTTCGCTTCCCTCTCCCAAACACACTTTTTTCGTCACCATAGGTACGAGGCGAGCCTTAATCCTCCTGCCCGCCTCAGACCCTGACAGGAAGCCCACCTCCCCGAAAGAAAATGGGGGGGGGGAGCGTGTTCTCGCGAGACAACAGCGCCGTCGAGGGGATTACTGCACGCTGCTCTTCTTCTCGCGAGAATACGCCGCGGCTCGCCTGGGTGCGTATTGCAGTATTCGCTCGGCGCCCGCCCGCCCGCCTTACGAGAAGCCCCTGAAGGGTCGCCTCACTCACCGAAGATCTCCTGCCGGTACCGCTCACCCATGACGCCTTGGCTCAGTTCCCTCAGCCTCACGCGGGTCTTCAGCTGGAGCGGGGCAACATCCCCGAAAGGATACGAGCGCTTCGGCATCCCGTTTCCCCCGCTAAAGACTGGGTGAAACGGCAGAGCCACCGACCGGGCCAAAGAAACCCAAAAGGCTCGACCGCCAAACGCTACTTTTTTTTTTTTTTTTTTTAAGCGAGCCGCGCCCTCCCGAGCGGGAAAATAAACACCACCGCGCCGTAAACCAGACCTTTTGAGGCACCAGCCTCCTCCCCGCCTGCCTGACTACGTCATGGGGACGCCCTCCAATCGCGAGGCGTCTGCGACGGGACAAGGAGGCGGGTCTCCCGAGGCGAAGAAGGCGAGCACGCGCTGAGAGGCGGGGCGGGGCGGGGCGGTTTTCGCGGGAAACGTGTAGCCTAGGAGCAGTGGGCGGGGCGAGCACGCGCTGAGAGGCGGGGCGGGGTCGTTTTCGCGGGAAACGTGTAGCCTAGCAGCAGTGGGCGGGGCCTTTTTTTGTGTTAATAAGCTCACTGAAGAAGTTTGTATCGTTGTGGGTGGGCCGGTGGGTTGACGAATGGCCTGTGTTAATAAATGTCATCTTTATCCAGAGGTGTTCTTGAAGAGTTCTGACTCCTGTCCTCTGAAGATGCCGGCCACAGAGACTGGCGAAACCTTAGGCAGAAAAAACCTCCAGAACAATTACAAGGTTCTTTAATTCCTCCTCACTAAGGCGAAACCTTAGGCAGAAAAAAACTCCAGAACAGGGCCAAAGAGCCCGGGAAAACCTAAAACCACCATTTATCAAGAGGACTTGCCGCATTTAATTTCCTCTGCCCTCATTCTTTATAATCCTTCTGTTCAAAAAATCTGGGTAATATTCCATGCATCTGGGGAAAACACAATAGATGAGATCTATTTTATTTATTCATTCATTTATTTGTATTTAAAGTAACCCTCCCCCGTTTTTCTCCTAAAAAAGGGGGGGAGGCAAGGCCTTTCTCCCCATGTATTATAACTGCTATATGTTGGCTAACTTGATTTAATTCAAGTTATCTAAGAGATCTCAGCAGTAGCTGATCTGAAGAGAGATGTAGCAGAGGTGGCAATATTTGGTAAAAATGTTAACCCAACATCAAGCTGCTGTGAAAAACGTGCATTGTATGTCTAATCAGAAGATGAGCTGAAAACAAATTGAGTTTGAGACCCCTGACTTAAAGGGACTGTGTTTGGAAGAGCAGGGGCGCAGAGGCCAAGAAAAGAAGGAACCACCAGAGGGCGCCATTTTGACGGGAAAAGGTGGAGATAAAAAGGAAAGGAGTAAGGGGCCAGTTGGAAAGTGAAGAAGGACAAGCGTGTTGGGTGGAGGAAGAGGAGGAAGAGGAGAGGAAAAAAAGGATCGGGTGGAGAGAGCGCAGGAGGGCCCCTGGACAGGGGAGTGGATGGAGTTTGAAGGGTGCATGCTGAGAAGGAATGGAAGACCTATAGAAAGCCACCTTACTGGGGTGAGACGGAAGAAAGAGAACAAAGGAGAAAGTTCAGGGAGTGGCAGCAATGTCAGGCACAAAAGAAGGGAGAACAAGCCCTTGCCAGACTGTCCTGGGAAACCCCGTGGGGCGAACCCATTCAGACAGAAGATGGGACAAAACCGGGCAGGAAAGTATGGGAACCACAGGTGGGCTGGTTTTTCCACCTTCCCCAATAAGGTCAGCTATAGGTGTACCCGATAGATTAGGCGTTCCAGAGACTCGAATTCTACCCCTATGCAATTAGAAGGGGATTTGTTAGGGTTCAATGAGAACGGAAAAGGCACAATGTCCCTGAAGCAAGAGACAGAGTCTGTTGAATGGAGCAAGTTGTCAAATAAAGGATTCTTGTTAGAAACTTCTGACGTCCCTGCATTATCCCTCCAGCAAGATCCATATAAGGGAGAAAGGAGAATTACACCAGATCACACTATTTCATTTGATTTCTGCTTCTTCTGCATATTCTATCAATAGCAGAAGACATGTTTCAGCAGATTAGCCTGGTGTGTTAGATGCAACCTCTCCTGGTCAGCAATAGCTTCTCCTTCTCCTCTCTCTCTCTCTCTCTCTCTCACACACACACACACACACACACACGACACAGACATCTAATCTCAGCATGCAAATGAAAGTTTAAATCCACCTTCTCAACTGAACCAAGCTATAACTTAGTGACTGAGCTCATGTTTTGCATGGAGATGCTCACAAAGCCAGCATCTCCAGGCAGGCTAGGAAAGAAACTTGCCCATAGAAGTGGAAAGCCATTGCCAGTGTCAGTAATACTGAGCTAAATAAGTGGATGGTTGTGATCAATCCAAGTCAACTTCTGATTTTGCTATCCTCTTGTTATGTGGAGAACCTCAAATGCTCCTTTGCCTGCCCCACTAGACCATAAGTCCCATAAGTCAGCTTATGGGAACATGATTTTGGCAGTAGCCATGGCAGTACTCCAAAGAATGCATGTTATCCACAGGCTCAACATGTGTAGTATAAAGCAGTGGCTGTGTGAACTTTGATTCTCCAGAAGCTTTGTTTAGAAGCTGAGAAATTCCTGACCATTTGACATGCTGGCTGGTGTTTCTGAGGCCTTGCATCAGAACATCTTGTGGGGACGGGGCTAAAGTTTGAGAACCACAGAGGTGAAAGACCATCAGAGGACTCTGCCTAGCCATTAAGATCCTCTCCGGGTACGCCATCCTTCAGAATTTAAGTAGCATAAGCTTGTCAATTGACTGGAAGCAGGTGCATGTTGTGATGCACGTCCTTCTCCTGAGAGGTTAGCTTGGCACTGTCTCTGTTGCACTTTAAGCACCAGGAAGTGGTTTCATTTGCCCTGTGTTTAATGAGCAATGATGTTTGTAATAGTGCTACAGAACTTTACCCTTGTGTCGTTTGTTTTTTTTCTCTTACAATACATGGCTTTTGTTTGTACTGATTCTGCATTTTTAGAAAAAATAAGCACCATTAAATAATTAACTGTTTTTAATTTATGAATTTCACACAGTGGCCGAAATCCTGTCATACAATTTTGTGCTGCTCAAAGCTGATGATGCCACAGCCTTTTACCACTAATTAAAAGCTTCCGATTCCCCCATCCCTCTGGATTCCAAGGCTTCCTTGGGATCAGGACTGGCGGCAGTGAGTTTTGGATATTAGACTCCCTACCCTGTCCCAAGTCCCCAAAGTTTTCCCCAGGATGAAAAGAATTGCAAGGGAATCTTGGAATCTTGAAGGGACTGGAATCTTTTATTGCTAATATCAGCCCTGTGTGGCATAAAGTAGCACAACAGAATTTCAGCCTGTGTGAGCCGTATTGTTTCGCTTACAATTGTGAGCTCTTATATCAAACTCAGCACTGAACACTGACAGAACAAATCCAGACTTTGGTTTCAAAGTCATTGGAAGTCTTGCTGGTGCTTCTAGGATTGCACGAAGATGGTAGAACTGATCTACTCATACTACTATATTATGACCTCAAGATACATTATAAAATCAAGAAACATATCTTTTCTACCACCTTCATGAAATGAGCTGATGTAAAATCCAGAATTATCATTCAAAAACCAAACAATTTGCCATAATTTCTGATGCACAACATTGGCATATGATTATAAAAGGATGGATTATAAAAAGAAGACCCAAGAGACCAAATCCTATACTCTTTTATCTTCTGAAGCTTTATTAAGTAAAGGATAGATGCATACAACAAAAGGTACAGCACCATTTACAATATATAAAAATAATCAAGAACACACTTTTAGTGCATTTGTGGAGCGTGTACACCCAGCTGTATCAGCCTAAAAGCACTGTACCTGTTAAATGTAAAACTTGATCTTTTCACTGTTGTCCTTCCTGTGATGTACAGTTAAGACATTTTCAGGGTCTTGTCATGCTATTCTCTACCTTTATTCAATTGTAACAATTTATGTCAGATACTGTATTTAACCTTTGTACTAAACAAAGTGATACTAAATTATTATAATTACATTCCAATATATTAAACAGGAAATAGTCAAGGAAATAAGATGCATTATTCACATCAAAGTAATTTCTTATTCAAGACTGTGTCACTGACTAGAATTAATAAATATTTGAATCTTTTCCAGTGGTATTACTTTGTAAGGAAAGAGATTTCCATTAAAGTAAGCCAACAATATGATAAATATTCTCTACAGATGTCAGGTAAACAGAATAAGTTTACAGGAACAAAAGATCAACTGTGATTTCATGCCCTACAGAAGTCCTGGTGGCAGTAGGGATTTTTCTCTTGTGAACTCTAATGAAATGAATGCAAAGTGCATTCATTTCATGGGGGCCTAAATAAGAACAATCTCCAATTAACTGTGGCATACCAGTTAGGCTGCTCAGGAGCCACTCACCTGAAAAAGTTGTGGGCATGCCATAATTTATTTTAGCAGATCTCGCATACAATAAATTATCAGACGTTGCAATACACCTCTGTCAAGGCAAGAATAATCTATTTGGGCAAAAAATATTATAGCCAGCAATTGAAATTTCAAATATTGTATAAGGTTCGGTTTACGAGACACAGGAAACAAGTTACAAGGTATTATGAGCTAGTTAACTGCTAACTTGTTACAGCCCTCTCCTTTAAAAAAGTAGAGTAAAGGCCACACTGGTGAACTTTGTTCTTAAATGTATAATATGTAGGCACTGATGGTTGTGGGTAGGAGTTCTCCAAGCCATTTCTTACAGGACTGGACCTTTCAGAAAAATAAACATGTTGGCAGTAGCTGTCTTTGATCTATATTCATAGGCAGCACTTCTACACAGCAATATACAAAACATTAAAATCTCTGTATTTTAATTATGTTGACATGATCTATGACAGATTTTTAGAAGAACCTATAGGCTATGACCTATCTGAGGTATTGCTCAGCAATTTATGATAGCAAATAATAATAATAATAATAATAATTCAGTGGCACGTTAAAGACTAATGTACTTGCCATGGCATAATATGGGGTTGAGCCAAATTATCTATGAGATAAGTAGCTAGTACTACATTGGATGTTACTGATGGAAAACTATGCTAGCTGTGTTGGCCAGATTAACAGGTTACAAAATGGCTTCTGCTTAAGCAATAAAGATTTTCTCTCTCCAACCTACAGCAGCTTCCAAAGAGGCAAAAGGAACGGCCAACAGATGAAAAAGTAAACATACGTGCCTTTGCACAAGTAGAAGCACTTATTTAAATCCTGCAAGGCACTGGTCACATTCAAATCTATCAAGGCACATTTACTTTTCAATGTGATTGACTCTGTGCTGAACTGTAACAATTAAGTAAAGGATAATCAAAGCAATTTTCTGTACCTAAGTTTCTACTAATTATGGAAAATTATGATCAATATCCTCAAGTTGTTTAAGAAAATCATACTGTAACTTTTCAAAGGACAAGAAAAAGTTCACGAGAAATCAAATATCTGCTTTGACTGTCCTTCCTTGCACTTCTAAGCTTCTGAGCTCTTCAAGTCACACTTGTTCAATTCTTCCCAACATCTTGCCCAGCTAATATTAATTTGTTTATTGCATTTATATCCCACCTTTCCTAAACTTAGGGACGTGGTGGCGCTGCGGTCTAAACCGCAGAAGCCTGTGCTGCAGGGTCGGAAGACCAGCAGTCGCAAGATCGAATCCACGTGACAGTGAGCTCCCATCGCTTTGTCCCAGCTCCTCGCCAACCTAGCAGTTAGAAAGCATGCAAATGCGAGTAGATAAATAGGTACCACCTCGGTGGGAAGGTAAAACAGTGTTCCCTAGTCAAGTTGGCCACGTGGCAATGGAAACTGTCTTCGGACAAGCGCTGGCTCTAGGGCTTGAAAACGGGATGAGCACTGCCCCCTAGAGTTGGACACAACTGGACAAAAAATGTCAAGGAACCTTTCCTATACTGAGGTCAAGGCAATGTACAAGACTCTCCACCTTTTCACTTTATTCTCATAACAGTAACATTATGAGGTTGTTCAGGTGGAGGTGTGTGACTGGCCAAGGTGAACCACTGAGCTTCATGGCCATGTGGGGATTTGAACGCAGGTCTCCTGAGTCTCAGTTAAACAATCTAATTCCTTACACCACAATGGTCAAATTTTTTATCCTTGATCAAATCACAGATCATAATACTTAGCCTCTGTATAACACTTTCAAGTCTTTTTTAATCATGTGGATTATACAGTAAAGTTATAATTCTTACAATAACCTGTAAGGTAAGTATATGATTGTCCCTCTGTATTGGAGACAGGAAATCTGAGCCAGTAAAAAGGTGGCTTGCCCATGACGACTAAAACTTACAGCAGAGGTAAGAATCAAATCCAGAGATTCCCGATTCATAACTTGGACTCTTGGCCACTATCCAATCCCAGCAGTTTACATCACAAACATTACAAATAATTATATGCGCATCAAAATCTGAAAACAAGATGTTTTTGTTTTAAAACTTTTGTTTATAATAATCATATGCCGTCAAGTCAAATCTGACTTATGGCGACCCTTTCCAGGGTTTACTAGGTATATTCAGAAGTGGTTTACCATTCCCTTCTTCTGGGGCACATCTGGGACTGTGCAGCTTGCCCAAGGCCACACAGCCTGTCTCTACTCACAGGACACACAGTAGGGAATCGAATTCCTCACCTCTGGCTTTGCAGCCAGATACCTAAATCATTGATCTATCGAGCCAGGCTTTTTTTAGCCTTTACAAAATACTGTTTTGTTCGAAATGAGCATTTCGCATATACAAAGATATCTGTCTTTTAACTTTGGTGTGTCGAAGTGTATAGAACTGCCCCAAGCAACTCTTTGCACAGGACAACTTGTGCATTATGGGAGGCTTCAGCACAAGCATCAGTAAGCCTGTAAAGATTATTGTTCTGCTATGCTTCATTTTTCAGCCAAAGTTCACATCCCTTGTGAAGGTTCTCCTAGGAGTAGGCATGGTTTAATTCTGGATGAATCTTATATTGAACACTTTGGCCCTCAAAGCTACATTCTTATATATAACATCTGCAAAGCAAAACTAATGCGTTTCCATGATTGAAGTGTTATCATAAGTGAGATAAAACTACTGCAAGATTATAGCAGCAATGTGTTGAGAACTAACATAAGTTTCACCATTTCTGCTAATTAACATTTTCTCAAATCAACACACAAGTGAAAGGCAGCAAAACTTCCATAATTTTGTCCCAGGCACATTATGTTTATATACTAGGGAACTCGCATAAAGTTCTATTTAGTAAGACGTAGACCGGATGCAGTGATGCATTCTATGGTAGATATATGGGACCTATCATAAGGAACATCAAATAATATAATAACCTTTGAACTGCAGAGCTAGAAGGGACTCTATGGATCATGAAGTCCAGCCCGTCTCAAGGAGGCACAGTCAAGAACTGAACTTCAAACTTCTTCCTCCACAGCCAGAGACCTAAGCCATTGTTCAGCGTTCTGAGTTTAACCACGCTTGGATTTTAAGAAATTAATGAAAGATCAACATATCAGCACATACGGCATGTGCAACTCACACAAAGACCATCCTAAGCCACACAATTATTGTGGTCCAGCTGCAAACAAGCAGAAGACGGCTGGTCAGGAAGCTGTTTTATAGTAACTCTTTTCTCGAAGTGCTTTGAGACTTGCAGTTTGAATGCTGCCTTTACTACTGTAAGCACTGGTCTTTAAGCATGTCCAGACCAACATTAGTCCACATTTCATTCCAACCTGGCACCTCAGCGAAGTCTTGTGTTCCCAATGGAGAGGTGGCTGCAATGGCACAATCCACTGTTGCTGCTACTTTGAAAATAAAGGCAAGCACCAACAGATGTAATGGCTTTTTATCACAAGAAGCACAACTGCTTATCATGCAAGCACAGAACTACATGCAAAATCATTCTATCACCCTCTCCTTTTTGTGTACTTAGATTGTTTCTATTTGGACTGTGCACATTCCACATATTTTAAAAAAGTACCAGCATATCACAGCTCCCTAACAACAAATTTCCATACAGCATAGTAAAGAACAACTGCTAGGACAGTTCAGCGGTCTATTATCAAAAGTCTAACATGACATGAACAGCATTAGTCCATATGGTCTGCCTGAGAATCAAATGGAACCATGCTATATGGCAGAAAGAAATCTGATGCTATATGGCAGAAAGAAATCTGCACCGTCACTGAGGCACAACAGGATCCCAGAGAGAGGATCAACTATGGGGTTCTTACTCTGTATTCCTTTCTTTCTTTTAAAATTTAAAATACAAATAGTACGAGACATGCCTAATAATAGGAAGAATGTTTCAACTTAACAACATCTCCATCCAAGCTCAGAAACACAAAGGAACAGATGGAAACTAAACTGTGTTTCTTGCCAGCGAAGTTCTTTGTTTCACTAAAAAAGCTGGATCATTGATTCTCTTGATTTTCCAACTCCAACCCATTTAACTGAAGAAGGAAGACAGGAAGACAGAAAAAAAAAAGAAAGATTAGTGCAATTACTTGGAAGAGCAAACAAGAACATGGCATTTTAGGCTACAGTCTTATAATGTGTAGATTCCAGAATTACAATCTTCAAAAGCAAGTACGTTTAGAAGTACAGTGCAACACCAAGTACCAAGCAATCCTGGCAGAAAATAGGTAATAATATCTAGTGTTGTCTATATATGTTTTTATGACATGATAGATTATTTTTGTATTTCACCTTCTTTGTAAAGTTTTAAAACAGAGAAAAGAAAACCACCAAAAGGCAAAAGCATCTAGCCCAAGAAATCCTAGAATCTTGGGAACTGGGATATCTTTCCAAATGAAATACTGTAGTATCAGGAACAACCTCTACTTCCCACATACCTTTCTCTATCTGCAAACCTCGCTTTGTTTGTCTTTTTTTTTTCTACAGCCACATGTCAAGCCTACATGGTTCTATTATCATCTTTCCTTGTCCCTGTAAAACTCATAGTTCATATTATAAGCCAGCAAAGCCCAGGGGAGTTTAAACACATTTCCCCTTATAGTTGCCATCCATTTGTTATATTATATCCCCTCAAACTAGCATTAGGCTAGCCAGTGAGTAAAAGTAGCTAACGGAAGCCTCCTCTTCTCACACTGTTAAATGGAAGCTAGAATATTTTACGGATAAATATATGCAATACTGGGACAGGCAGATCATCTTCTCCTGCACACACAGTGGGGAGCCATTCATCTATGTACCTTTTGAGGAAGGTGAATAGAGATTGCACAATTCTACTGTGGATGGCTCTCAGCACTAGAAGGAGTGGGAAGAAGGGATGCCCAATATTGCAATAATTTTTCTGAGGTACCCGTTATCATTGTATAGAAACACTGCTTTCAGTTGAAATCAGCAAAAAAAGTCTCTTTGACAAACCAAAATAATAATTTTCTGTCATTCAGTGTAGCAGACATATGACATACCCAGAGGAGACAGAGATACATACCTGGCACCCCAACATGATTTTCCACAAACCGAATGTAATTTTGTGCCTTAAGTGGCAGTTCTTCCCATTTTCTGGCACTAGTTGTGTCACTCTTCCATCCGGGCATGGTTTCATATTCCACCTCCACTTTCTGCAGTATTTCCTGGTTAGCTTCAAAAGTCAGGCAAAATAACATAACCATTATCTCCTAAGTGGAATACAAATCTTATTTTGCATTGACAGAATTCTGAAGGTAATAGACTAAACTGGTAGTCAAAAATTAAGCAGCTGACATTAAACACTGAACAATCTTAATTAAACAAGACATTAGTTGTGCCTGTGGACAGGATAAGCAGAGACAATTATTCTGTTTGCAGATTTCTTATACTAGTAGTCCAGTGGTTAAGCCACTGTACTGCAGCCAAAACTGTGCTCACAACCTGGGGTTCAATCCCAGGTAGCCGGCTCAAGGTTGACTCAGCCTTCCATCCTTCCGAGGTCGGTAAAATGAGTACCCAGCTTGCTGGGGGGGGGGAGGCAATGTGTAGCCTGCATAATAAACTTGTAAACCACCCAGAGGCTGCTTGAAGCACTATGGGGCGGTATATAAGCAGCATGCTTTGCTTTTTGCTTTTGCTTTTTATAAATACAAAACCAATTCTTGATACACGTGGCCTCTCTGTTGGGGAGGCACTAGCTCTGCATTTTAAAAAAACACATCATTTTTTGAAAAGAGTATGATAGGAAACTTGACACTCAGAGCCTAGCTAAAAGTTAAATCTCAAAACAATCAACAACATACCTGGAAAATAAGGGATCCTTTTTCCACCCAGCTTGTAAGCAAAGCCAATTTTGATTTCATCAAGGACATCCAGAATATCCAGTTTTGTTAATGCCAGACTGCCCAGAAAATATTAGATAAAGTCATAAATAGAACAAATCCTCACTCAACAGTTCCTTCAGATACCTCCACCTGCTTTTGTGTTTCTCCTAAAAGGTGATTCCAACAGAATTACTTAATGTGAACTCAGGTAATCACAGTAATAAATCATCATAAACAGCCACACTGCAGATCCACTGACATATAGAAAAAGAGCAATATGAACCACACAGGAATCACATAGCAGGTGAGCATATACAGTATGTGTGTTTTACACTGAAATTTGGAATATATATGTCAAATGACAGCTTAGCCTTGATCTCATGCATTTTAAAATGTGAATTCAATGCTGGTGGTTATACATTTTTATTATTTTCAATTTGTAGAGTACACTTCAAGAATCAACTAGAAAACCAGCTTTAGTGCAGGTCCACTGGGATAGTAATTTTACCCACCAACCAAAGGGATAAGCCAAAAAATTGCAGGCATTCATCCTTCAAAATCTCCTCTCTGAAGAATGTATTCCCACTGTCCTTCACCACAGTGACGATAAAACATTGGTGTTTTTTATTAATGCTAACTGGCCTTCTATTTCAGCCAGAGTTGGAAGTGCAAAGTGTATCCCTTCCCTCCCCATATCTTTTCAAGCAAGGAAGCAACTCTCTTTAAAGCGGAAGTGGATAAGCTCTAGGTACTCTCCTTTAGTTTGGCTCTTACAGTTTCATTATAGCAACCCACGTTCATATATTGCAATCTTACCAGTACAAAAAAAAAATCCTAAATCTTATCACAAGTGGTTTCTCCCTGTGACAATAGGGGAAATTGTCCATTTATCAACAGAATACTTGGCTATTTTAGTTTTAATGTTACCTACATATTTATATTCCAGAGGGCAAAAAGTTATGAGTTCCAACTGTAGCTCAAAATCTGTGATGCTTACGCAGTGAATCCATTGATCATATGAGCGTATCTCAAAATGACAAGGTCAAGCCAACCACAGCGCCTTTTTCTACCTGTGGTCACTCCCCATTCATGGCCTCGAGACTGTAAAAGATCTCCAATTTCCTGCCATAGACAAAGATATCCATTAGGTGTCATTAGTAACATTGCAACAGTTTACAGAGTAATCCTATGAGAAGCAAGGGAACATGTGAGTCAAAGGAATGGCCACTTCTCAAATCCTACTGATTTGCACCAACTAGTGGGGATGGGGGCTGTATGCCTTAAAACAGTGGCGAGTGGCCTGAATGCTCCATATTGCTCCAACAATCTCTGGCTTGCAGTTATACAATTCAGAGATTGCCCTATAAAAAGCAAAGGGGCTTAAACGTGCACAAGAGAGTAGTGAATACCTCCCTGCACAATCAGCATAAAAATAGAACTGTGTGTGTTCAATAAGCCATCATGCACACAGAAAAAACAATGCGAACTTTGGCTACCATATTTAAGTTCATTGAGAAAATGCACATGTGGTCACAGTCTGGGTCGAGTCACAAACAAGACAATTTGGGGAGAGATGATACTATGAGGGGCCTGAAATTTGGACTGCAAAAGAGAAATCTGACCAAAAGGTTTACCAGCCATGGCCTTCATAAAAATGAGAACTGCAAAGATGAAGAATCACCTCATATAGAAGCAGCAGTGAAATTTGGAGCTGGTATGTGAAATTATTTTGAGACTCCACAAACAACTCATGTACTACAGTTGTCAAAAACATCCATTTAATTTTTCACTGAAAAGATGAACATGCCCATTGCCCTACTTAACAGCTTAATTCAGATGAACCTCCAAGCTATCTTTGGAGGGTAGGAAAAGAGATATAGGTTCCCCTTCTGTCCTCTGATAAATAATTTCTTTCTTTAGCATTAACCAGAGTTTGCCTTCACGCCAAATTTGGAAAACAATGGTTGATGTCTTTCTTCGAAAGTAAGACTCAGAAACTCATTTCAAAGCATGGCTTCTGACCGATGGCAGACAAACACTACTTCTAGACAGGCTTTCACATACACTAGCTGCAACCTTTTTTTGAATTAGTCTGACTTGACAATAGCTATCTATGCCTTTGCTACATCACTACTGCAATGTGCTGCAAGTGGACTATCCTTGAAGATTATCCAGAAGCTTCAATTCTTGCAAAATGCTGTATGTATGGTTTCAATGGTTTTAAATGGTTTTGCATTCTTCTATATGTTTTCAATTGTCTAAAATTTTAATATAATAACACAGAAGAGAGTGGAAGAATCCATTGCTTAACTTAGCCCTTCAGCATGACCTTGGCAAGAATGTATGAGCAAGGGACCTTCACAGTGTTGCAACATTTTATTAGACTGCCTTTATTTGTTTGGCTTTGCTAACACAGAACCTACATTTATTTGCTCAGTGGGGAAGGCTCCTATTCCCACTCTTGTTGTGTAGGCCTTCACTACACCATATACTTCTCCAACATGCTGAGGAGGAATACCAAGACCAGTGCATACACCTCCCACAGTGCAGTTCGACGATGTCACAAAAGGATATGTACCTACCAAAACAAAACGAATGAACAAAAATGTTAGATAAATTGTGATTTTAAAAACTCAAATGACACCTTGCCTCATTTCATTTCAAGATGGCCTTTCATATGTATTGTTAGGTACTTCAGAGAAATTTAAAAGATGTGGCTAAGAGATTGCTAATCATATCCACAGTGAACATAGAGGAGGCATGCATGTCACAGTCTTTAAAGCACACTATAGGTATATGATAAGAAAGGGAACTATAAGATAAAGTTTATGGGCGGGCTCCATGTGCGGGGGTGGGGGCACCCCCATGCTCGTGGGTGGGTGTGTCACGCTTACGCACATGCACGCGAGCATGACATGCCCCCCTCCACGAGTACAACACGTCCATCAGTGGGAGGGGCGGAGATCCATCTCCACAGCCCAGTCCTTGGAAGCCCACGGACCGGCACTGGGCTGCGGACCACAGGCTGGGGATCCCTGGTCTAGTTGACTGTAATACTGGCAGTGTCTCTGATGACACAAGGTATCCCTTTTCCCTTGGACCCTTACTATTTTGCCATCAACAGTATATATAAAAAAGACATTCCTCTCAATGTAGCACATAAATCAGATACTTTTTAAGCCCCTTATGATATTAGGTTGGATCCAAGACTAGGAGCAGATTACAAAAATCTTAGATTAGATTACAAAAATCAACAGAACACATAAGCCACAACTGACATTAGCCCCACATTTCAGTGCTCTTTCTACAGATGTACTGAAGTCTGGATCTATCCTGTTCAAGAGATGCTTTTACACATACATTTATTTAAGAACTTAAGGGTAAAATAGACCAAAACTCTATTTAGTCCAGCAAACCATTTCCTACAGGGTCCAACAGCATTCCAGTGAAGGCATGTATTCCCATGACCAGGAGTTGTGTACTTGTTCCTAACCTGGTGTCTAGCCTTGAAACAGTACAGTCGTGCCCTGCTTAATGATTACCCTGCATTACGACGAATCCACTTCACGACGAATCTGCTTCACTATGATGTTTTTGCAATTGCAATTGCGATCGCAAAACAATGTTTTAAATGGGATTTTTTCGCTTTGCGAAGATCAGTTCCCTGCTTCGGGAACCGATTCTTCACGTTACGATGATCAAAACAGCTGATGATCGTCGGGTTTTCAAAATGGTCACCGGGTGCTCAAAATGGCTCCCCGCTGTGCTTAGGGACGGATTCCTCGCTATACAGGCACCGAAAATGGCCGCCGTATGGAGGATCTTTGCTGGACAGTGAGCTTTTAGCCCATTGGAACACATTAACCAGGTTTTAATGCATTTCAATGGGTTTTTCATTTTCGCTTTACGACGTTTTCGCTCTACAGTGATTTCGCTGGAATGAATTAACGTCATTAAGCGAGGCACCACTGTATGTTACTCTTCCTAAATCTGCAAAATCAGGGGAAAAATTAGATGAAGATCTAGAGACAGACAAGTGCCGGGCAACATACCAAAGTCAATGTCAAGCAGGGCTGCGTTGGCACCCTCGACAAGAATTTTCTTTGGAGACCCATGTAGAGCTTCATACATAAAATAAACACCATCTCGGACCATTGGTCTTATCTTTTCGGCATAGCCCTGCAATATTTAATACACACATAGGGTTAATAAAAGTGTTCTGCCAGAATCATTACAAACCAACATCTAATATTATTAAAGGTCTAATCAAAACTGTTAAGAAAAGGCAAATTTATCCAGATTAAAATTAAGGCAGTTTTTTGTAGGCCGGTTTGCAGTTTACCTTGTTGACAGTTGAGCTGCACAGTGTCATACCAGAATTTTTAAACATGCATATATCTCATGAATAAACCTAATTGTAATGATATCATATTGGCCTTTGGAATTCACAAACCAGACATCTAGCATAGCTTGCCATTTCAACATTATAGTGGTGTAGCTCAAGACTATGTATCTTCTAAAATTTAATCATACAAAAAGGCCTGACATAATTGCATACATCTAGCATGATACTAAATACAAGTGTGCTCCTTTCTACTGTGCCTTAAAACTGCAGTGGTTATTATGCAGTGCAATATTTAGAACCTCCAAAAGCATGATTTCCCACACTGTGTCTTAGGGACCTAGTAACGTCATTAAGCGTCCCAGAGATGCAGCCACTCCCAGAGATGCAGTCACTTTTACGCCATTTGTGAAGCATCCTTAAACCAAAGCCTAGACAAAACTATTCAAACCACACAAGTTGATAAAGAGGCAAGACCAATGCCTGACCTTAATGCCTAGCAAGTGTGCAGGTCATCCAAATAAACAAGGAAGAAGCCCTTCTATGTCTCCTGTCTTGCCACTTCCAGAAAGCTGCTGTCTAAAAGCGATACCTTACTCTTAACTTCTGCTATGTAAGGCCTGGTTAACACATGAAGATACATCACTTGCTATATCTTTCAGTGACTAAGAGTTGAAGAGAACTCCTTTGATGTTACTGATCTGAACCTAAACAAATGCAAGTCTGTATTGCAAACAGATGATGGAAATAAATGTGCGAATGTACCTAGTTCTTTGATATACTGACCAAAATCCTATTGCTCAGTATAGTAAGTTGCATCAATGGGGATTTCATGAGTGAACTCCACCATAAATTCTACTGAATCACATGGGCCTACGCTAACTGTGATTTACAATGCTAAAGCCCATTTCAATTAATTGAACTTGACTTACTAAGCCCCCATTGATTGAATAGGCCTGTTCTAGTGTGATTTATTACACAGGCAACAAGATTTTGGCCATTATTACTTAATTCTCATTCACGTCTCATTCATAGCGACAGGGTTTTGCACAGGAAACATTGCAGTACATTGTGACGCTAATGAAGGATCAGTACTGTACAATCAACAAACTGTCCCTGGGCATTTAGCCCTTCCACTCCAGTACATGACCTTTTCCATTTAAAATTTAAAATATCCTTACATATATGCAATAGTGCAATATATGCTTGCACCTACATTGTGCTTTGCATCAATTTCACTTTTAAACTCTATTTTAAATTCTTTTCAATTTCATATTCTTAGTAATTTTGAGAAAATATGAAACAACTATATATTATGTTAGGCCATCTTGATTTATTTTGTATAAACTGCAATTTGTTCCTATCTCAATCCAAAGTCTTAACAGAGAAGTGTCAGAGGTTTACCTTTAGTTTTTTTAGCTGTCCTTCTACATCAGTTTCTAAAGAAGGAAACATTGACTTGTATTGATGCGCCAAGTTCTTAAATCTGTAAAACATCAACAACACACATGCAGAATTTCTAACCTGAGGCTTTCGCTCTACTCCTTTGTTTTTCAATCAAAAATATCATGAGACTGGGCACTTCTCTACCAAAAGTACACAAAGTAGACACGATGGCCCAATTCTCAGACAGGGAGGATGGTCTGAGCTGCATCTTATTAAAGGCTATAATGGATCTGGTATACCCATTTCTTTAAAATGGGTTCATTTGAAATAGCACCATTTATTCAATTGTACATGGTAAGTTCAATGTCCCCTTCCTGTGCTTAAACAGTTTACAAGAAAAAGCATCCATGAAAAGCAGAAATTCCCACCGAGAGGGCATCGCCCTACTTGCATTGCTACCTTGAAGAAAATTCATCAAAATCTGAAAGAAGATCACAAATCCGAAGGCCTGTCCGTGCAGCTTTGGAAGAATAGGTTGGTCCAATTCCTTTCTTCGTTGTACCAATGCTAGTAAAAAAAAAAAAAGATAAATGAATGGTATCAATTATACTGGACGAACAAGTCTTATTCAGACATTTTAAAGTGCTTTGTAACAGGAATTCTTTGAAAGTGTACTTTTCACTTGACAACAACCCACTGGTTAGAAACCTATTGGTTAATTACACTGGTGTAAGTGCACTGGTGTAAAGTGCAAAAGCCAACTATTGCAAGTTAATTAGCTACTGGTTGTTGTAGGCTTTTTGGGCTGTTTGGCCGTGTTCTAGAGGTTTTCTTCTCAACGTTTCATCAGTCTCTGTGGCCGTCCTCTTCAGAGGACAGGAGCTAGAACTCTGTCTGTGTTCTCGTGTAATGTGTGGGATTGTTGAGTATTTGTAGCTGTGGGATCAGGTTTTGTTCTTTTCAAATTGGGTGATTATTGTGATCAGTATGTTTTTTGTTATAGGTGTATTGTTGTGATAAGGGGGGGAGATGATACACAGAAGTACTGGACAACACCAGCAGTCATTATGTTAGACTACACAAGGAAGCCATTGAAATCCACAAACACCAGCATAACTTCAAAAACAAGGAAGAAAGACTAAAGCCATTGAAATCCATAAACACCAGCATAACTTCAAAAACAAGAAAGACTAAAACTCAACAAAGCCTGGCTCCCAACACTGAAAAATACAGGCTGCAAAAAGGTCAACAAACTCTACCCAGCCACAAGGACCGGTAATCACTGCACACAAAAGACTAGCTAATGACACCCATCAATCACAGTAACAGATCATCTCCCCCCTTATCACAAAAATACATCCATAACAAAAACACCTTGATCACAAAAATAATCCAATCTCCTGAAAAGAACAAAACCTAATCCCACAGCTACAAACACTCAACTATCCCACACACTACACCAGAACACAAGAGTTCTAGCTCCTCTCCCCTGAAGATGCTGGCCACAGAGACTGGCAAAATGTTAAGAAGAAAAACCTCCAGAATACAGCCAAACAGCCTGAAAAACCTACAACAACCATCGGATGCTGGCCGTGAAAGCCTTCGAAAATACATAATTAGCTGCTACCTGTATTCCTTTCACACATCAGTTGCATGTGTTGGTGCACAACAAAAGACACAAAGAGCAACTCACTAACAACTAGTAAGTCATCACTGCAATTTACACCATTGCACTTATACTAGTATATGTAGCCAACAGGATTCTGCTTCAGATACATGGAGTGAAATATTAATCCCACTTTCTTCAAGGTTGAGACCCTTTCCCTTCATCTTTATAAAAATTACATTTGTACCACTGTCCTCTCCTGTGGATGGGCAGGTGCAATGCAATGCAGGGCTTCTGCATTTTGAGGACACAATAGGGTTGTACAGACAAGGGGATTCCCACAGGTGAGTTCATCATTCAGGTGTGAAAAGATGGGACACCAAAGTATAACATTCTATAAAACTGGTCAATATGCCCTCTGTTTCTGTTCTCTCCCTTTTGCTGCAAGCAAATACAGTAATGGCAGTATCAGTGGTGTGTTCCTGCCTTAAACAAAGCCGAGTACAGAAGTAAGCTGTAAATATAAAGGGGAAGAAGTCCTCTGACTACCATTCCTATTTCGTTAATTCATCAAATGTTTCTTAACCAGTTGTACAGTGTTGTTTATCTGCCATCAGCCCTGTTCCTTTATAATGCTTTCTTCTTCTACATTTTCTAGGGGGCTAGCTACTCATCTCCCTGTGCTTCAATTACAAGATGTTGGCTCTTCAGTTACCTAGTGCAATTCACGGTTTCAGAAAATGAGCCAGTACCTTTTTTCTTCTTCACATTACCACTGAACAAACTTCACACACGGATGGAAGGCAGCATGCATTAAGCTGACTTTCCATGCCAAACTGTGTGTGCCTGCTTCTGAGGCTACTGTGAGTTTTTGCTTGTTTTTATTACCTCACTACCAGATCTTTCAGAGCTGTTCTAAATAGGTCAGCTGGGTATCAATTTCCAGCTCACTGACCTATCTAATGTAACATCGGGTACGGGGGCATGGCAGTGGTGGACTAGAAAAAGAGAAGCACGAGAATTTCTCTAGAGACACTGGGACATTTTGTTATCCACTAGTAGCAGCAACAGCAGACAGCTTTGTACATGAATCTACTTTTCCTTAATGCTGGATCTTCCCCACTATAGAATCTTCAGATACCAGCATGCGCATATGCTTGGCTACAGATAAACAGTGGGAAAATCTCATGCACAGCAATAGTGCCAAGGCAACCAGCAATAGTGCCAAGGGGAGTAGAATGAATGGAATATATTTTATATACACATACCTACAGATTTAGAGGTCATTCAGGCAAATGTAGTGACAATGTTTTAAACAAATGCTTTAAAGTGATCATCAGATCATTTATACAGTGAACACTTTACATTTTGAATATACTATTATGGACCTGTGCCACTTCTAGATTCAGAACCCATGTATGCCAAGATATATAATTACTTTTTCCCCTCTTGTGCTTGCCGCTGTACTTCTTGAAGTCCATCAACTGCCTGGTGAAAATCAAACACTGCATGGCAGAGGAAAAGCCACAAGAAAATGAATCAAAGGACAAGAAATATAGTTTGGTTTTCATGTACCACACATATCATTTTACAGTAGCAGAAGAATTTCATTCAACAACCCTTACTGATTATTACTATATCATTGACAGAGTAAAGATACTATGTATGATATACAAACATACTGTTTTAATTATTTTTTTTGTCATACTGAGTATATTCAAATAAGGATTACTTACCTATATTGCATAAGTGCAAACTCTACTCTGAGTCTGGATGACAGCCAGAAATTCCAAAAAGTTACTTGACTGTAAAAATTTCCTTCTATCTGAAAGCTACTTACCAATGTGTGCTCTGTCAGATATAATGAGTCTTTTCTCCCAGTCTCTTAAACCTGTCCGAAGAAATTAAATGCCAGAAGATTTTTGATCCAAAACGACTATAAGTACTAGAAAGGAGTTTATTTTGTTTTCTTGTAACTTTTAAACAGATTTAATGAAGAGAAACATGCAGATTGTAAATAAAACTATACAGTATGTTTAACCAGCCTAGCAGTAAACAATGCAGAAATCAGAAACGGTGAAACTTTGGGGACATCTCTTTTGCATGGTGTGCTTATTCACTGTGACCTGGATGACACACTTGAATACATGGATAAATATATCATGTTGTATTTGAATGGATCCAGGCCGGGAATTGAGAATTTCCAGGCTGTACCTTATCTATCCAACCCACAGAGATGGAGGCCCCACCATAAAATACCCTTGCCTGAAATCAGCTCCAGTCGATACAGAGCAAGTGGCTGAAGCTCAGGTCTGGGATTTTGCTCCTCTCCAAACCTTTTTCTCTCTCTCTGCGATTCAAAACCCTTGCACTTAGCTCTATATAGCCAAGACAGCACACTTTTTGTGTTATGCATTTATGCACAAGGATTAGAAGTCCTTGTGCTTGTAATAAGTCTTATTTCATTTTTCAAAAGTTTAATAGTATGAAAAATAACTTTACAATTAAGCAAGAAAGTTCAAGGACAACAAAGAACTTATATAAGAATTTATACTGAAGAAATGACTAGAATTTTTTACTCTTAGGTTACACGTTCTAAATTAATTTCACAGCTCTCTGAGAAGAGGTTGGGTGAGGAAGTACAGTAAAGCTGAATCACTGCCTGTTTTTTTTTAAAGACTGATTCAGATACAAGACAATCCTCATTAGGTGCATTTTCCAAGGTATTCAGTTTGTTGGAGTGCTTTGTTACTCTTCAGATCCGAACTCTTAGGCATAGATGTAGTAGTACATTTCTTGATATACCAGTCTTCCATACAGAATTTTTTTAAAAATATTTCATCTAAAGGGTAAAACTAAATTCCACTACACGGAAAGCCTCTTTTTACAGAAAAAAAGTATCAAAATATAAGATACAAACCTTTCTTTTCATTTTTTTCAGCTTCTTCAAATAAGCCTGGTAAATGTATAACTACTCCATTTCCTAAAAATGACATACATAAGGTTTGTTTAAAAAGCAGGAAATGAAGTAATCATCCTTCAAAGTGACACAAGATACATTAGGATACAGCAGCTACACAATACAACTTAGGGTCAAAAACACTTTCCAAGCTTTTCTAAACTGAAGTCTTAACATGTTGAATCTTCTCGTAATAGTGTCCCATACGCCTATGAGCATTTGCCTTCTTGTCCTAGCCACTCTGTTTGTGCAGTTGGAAGATGCACTGTTGGTAAGCCAAGAAAATGGTGAACACAAGACCTCTCCTAGGGCCCATAGGAGGAATATATTACTGCCCTCTGCTGCATGAGGAGGGCTTCCATTCCTCTGTGATTCCAGAAATCTTTAGAATAGAGATGGGGGTATTCATATACAAACACAAATATCCCCCCACAGGTGCAGATGACAAGGGTCCGGCCCCCTGGGGCCAGACCAACCATTTATCGTTCCGCTGCAAGCTCCGCAGAGCGTTCTTATCGCTCCGTTGCTCGCGATGGATTAGCCACTCCTGGCAGAAGGCGGGATGACGAGCCTCTCTGCCACGTCGAAGAGTGCTGGTCTGCCTCCCCTCTCTCTGGCCAGCAGGGCCACTCCCTGGACCTCGCACACTCCTGTTGTCCTTCTTCTGTGCTGGTGCTCTAATCCGGGCAGGAGCCCAGCCAGCCAGCCTTCCCCTGCCAACTACTCCGACATGGAGATGGGGTGGGGAGTCTCCCCATGCAGCCGATGCGTGATCAGCTGCCTGAGCTGGGGAGGAAGGGCTGGCCAGGCTCTTGCCTGGATTGGAGTGCTGTCACAGAAGAAGGACCCAGCAGTGTGCAAAGTCCGGTGAGTGGCCCAGCAGGCTGGGGGGAAGGGGAGATGGGCCAGCACAGCATCTGTGGTGCCCCTCTGAGTGCTTCATATGAAGCTGTACAAAGCACTCATCTCTATTTTATATCTTGAGTACAGGGTCAAGCAGTTCTTTTGAAAAGATTTCTATCTCAACTGTGTGCACCAAATTTTACTCCAATATCTCAATAACTATGAAAATTGTTGGCCAGACTCCTTCATGTAAGAATGTAAGGTTAGCATAACTTGCAGCTAACTGATGAGATGCCTCATTTTGGCTATATGCTTGGTCATGCATCCAACCATGTATCCAAGACACACCCTGCACCTCATCAGTTAGCTATGGCAAGCTATGCCAACCTCTGGCACACAGCCATAGGATTTCAGCTGTCATGTTACAGAGAGCATGCCCAACAGGCTAGTTAAACTATAGTCCCCTTTACTCACCCACTTTAATAGAGGTGCATGAGGAGCAATGTGCATTTCACATGACACAGCAGCCCACATTTGTTGTTAGAATGGCAGACAGAACTGCTTGTGCTGACACAGATATAGAGTGGCAATACAGCATTCCCCTCCAAATGTCATTCTAGCAAATTAAGTCTTCAGTTGTAAGCAGCTGCACTGGTGTATGGATTCATTCTCCTTTTTATAAAGCTGCTAATGAAGTTCCAATAACAGTTGCAATCACCCAGAAGAGGCATAAATATTAGTAATGAAGCAGGACAGTAGCAATGACTCTGTTTTCCTTCTCATACATATTTTAAAAAAACCCTCATACAGTCACTTCCACTTAATTTTGTATTAAAAGGCCAAGAAGTTACATTTGCCTCCATAAAGAAAAAGGTGAGAGTTCTATCTTAACTTCCTATTTAAACTTAATAAGAATCAAGACAATAGTGAAAAGCACTGTTACAAATACAGTGGTGCCCCGGATAGCGACACTAATCCGTTCCGGATATATCGTTGCTATCCAGAAACGTCGCTATACGAAAATAAAAACCCCATGGGAATGGATTAAACTCCGTTTAATGAGTTCCTAAGGGGGATAAACTCACCACTAAGCGGGAATCCTCCATAGGGCCGCCATTTTTGCCGCCTCGGTAAGCGAGGAATCGGCGCGAAAACGCTGCGGGCAGCCATTTTGCTGATCCAGTGGCCATTTTGGAACCACCGATCAGCTGTTTCTGAAACATCGCAATGCGAAGATCTGTAAGCGAAACGCTTACCGATCATCGCAATGCGATTTTCGGCCACCTAAAACATCACAATGCGATCGCTTTTGCGATAGCAAAATCCGCATCGCTATGCAGATTCGTCGTTAAACAGGGTGCTCACTATGCGAGGCACCACTGTACCACCATTCAAAATATTTCCTAACTCCAAACTAGATAGTCATACTTACCAATAAAAGAAATTGCCTTGGGATTAATTATACCACTAGGAAAGAGATGAAAATCATATTCCTTCCCATCAACAACCACCGTATGGCCTGCATTATTTCCTCCCTGCCAAAAAAATAAAAGAAATAATGATTTTAACCTCTATTTACTATCAGCAAGATTTGATAGTACCTGCATCAAAAACAGTATTTTTTATTATTTTTGAAATATTTATGCATTTAAACATTTTAACCGAGTTAGTCTACTAACATGTTTTGGACATATCAAGACTAAATTAGTCATGCTTTAGTTCAATTGGATCAAATAGAACAAGAGGTTAATTATAACTAACTGAATTTATGATTGAGCTCAACAGTACTAAGGCATGACTAACTTACTAGATGATCATATATGTGTGAAGCCCACTGTGCTTAGTAATACTTGTTCCCAAGTGGCTGAGTGCAGGATTTTAGCCTCAGTACAGATGCAGCTCATTGAACTTCATTATATATCAAGGGGAGGCTCTTGAGAGTCCCCTGGACTGCAAGGAGAACAAACCTATCAATTCTAAAGGAAATCAACCCTGAGTGCTCACTGGAAAGACAGATCCTGAAGCTGAGGCTCCAATAGTTTGGCCATCTTATGAGAAGAAAAGACTCCCTGGAAAAGACCTTGATGTTGGGAAAGTGTGAAGGCAAGAGGAGAAGGGGATGACAGAGGACGAGATGGTTGGACAGTGTCATTGAAGCTACCAACATGAATTTGACACAACTCCGGGAGGCGGTGGAAGATAGGAGGGCCTCACATGCTCTGATCCATGGGGTCACAAAGAGTCGGACACGACTAAATGATGATATTCAAGTCTGCTGGAAATAGTATTTATTCATCCATTTGTACTGCTTTCACTACTTGCTTTATTATCCTCAAAGTTTTTATTTTATTTTCTTCAATATCTGTATGCTGTGTCACACTATTAAATAAAACACAAAGGCTAGGATCCTACTACCCTACACAACTCCACTAAGGGTGACTGCACAAAGGAAGGCATTCATTTCCTGGGCAGTTTATCACACATCCAGCCCTCTCCCGACGGTCCAACTGATCATGTGGCTGCATATCTCAGAAACCTGGGAATCAACTAACCACTTGTACAACTGGTTACTGCACACTGTTCTTGAGTTGCATTTTAGCCACCATAAGTTTCAACTACCATTAGTACAACATTCTGATAGGTGCCCATCAAGACAATGCTTTGCAATCTCTGCATGCAAACAGTTCTTTAATGGCAGAAGGATTTTAAAAAATAGTTATGATTCATCAATAGTGACTCAGTGGTTTTAAAACCCCAGCTAAAAGCCAGTAACATATTAGAATATGTGTTACTTATCTCAGAACAGTACTGCATGTATTGTTTTTTGTATCCAAAACCCCCAATCCTACCCTGGGAACTGTATACAACCCCTACCACCCCAAATTTTACTGATTTATCAATCCAATAATTTGCCTGTTTAGGTAAAAAGCACAAGTCAACATTTTTGAAAAGGTGGCTGGATTGAAAGGTGGAACTGCAGCATTAGTGAATAACAGCTGCAAGCATACTAAAAACAGAAGAAAAACAGCCTCAACCATCATTAACTATAAAGAAGAAAATATAGAAACATACACCATAATGATATCATGGTTGTGGTAAAGATGGACTAAGAAAGCCACTGGAAATATCTTAAGAGTCAAATAAAAACAACCAGCAGGGCTAAAATTTAAAAAAGAAAAGAAAAAGAAAAAAGTGTGCTGCTTAAGTGTGGAAGTTGTCCTATTAAACAAAGATAGCTTTTGACAGGCACCGAAGCAAAGAAAGGCACCAGACAAACATCTTCTCTGGGAAGATCATTTTACAGTGGTGTTGCGCTTGACAACGTTGATTCGTTCCAGCAAAATCGCTGTAGAGTGAAAACATCATCAAATGAAATTTTAAAAACCATTGAAACACATTAAAAACTGGTTAATGCGTTCCAATGGGCAAAATACCTAATCATCCAGCGAAGATCCTCCATACAGCGGCCATTTTCAGGTGCCTGTCTTGCGAAAAATGCCTCCTAAAAACAGTGGGGAGCCATTTTGAGCAGCCGGTGGCCATTTTGAAAACCCAACGATCAGCTGTTTTGATTGTTGTAATGCGAAGAATCAGTTCCCGAAGCAGGGAACCGATCGTCTCAAAGCAAACCCCCCCCCCATTAAAGCATCGTTTTTGCGATCGCAATTGCGATCACAAAAACATCGCCGTGAAGCGGATGCGTCGTTATATGGGGTAATCGTTAAGCGGGGCACAACCGTATAACTGGAGAAACACCAGAGATAATACTTTCTACCCAATAGCCACTCATCTCACCTCAGAACAATGGTGCAAGTATGACAGTTCTCCTTTTAATGTACTGTATATAATTATTGACTGATCTAGAAATAAGTTGTCCAGTAGAATTTTTTTAAAATTATTAATTGGCTGGAGTTAATTCATGAGCTTCCCTTCCCGTGTTAACTGTCCATGGTAATCTCAAAATAGCATCTGGTACAATATTCCCCAAATGTTAGTTTATTACCAAAATTAATTTGACCTTTAGTTAGGATTAACAATAACTGCATGGTTTTCCATATTCTGTGTCCCAAAATTGTTTTTGGTAGGCTTTCTGATCACCATTCATGAAAGTTTTGATACAACAAATTCAGGTTCTCTCTCTCTCTCTCTCTCTCAAACACACACAGACACACACACACTTCCCTAGCACATCAAGAAAAATGTTTCTTATTTATGTTACTAAATATTTCTCAGGGTAACAATATAAAAACACAATACAAAAACACAATGGAAAGTTTTTTCCCGTCACTCTTTTCTTATAGTCATTAATCTTTCACAATACAGTATACATAATTTCCCATTAAAGGACTTTCCCCAAGCAAAGGTTCTTTTTAAAACTTCTTAGAAGCTAATTTATATCAAATGGTTATGTAGACCTTGTTTACAAATAGACAAACAATCCTGAGATAATTCATTTATTTATTAATTTGTTTACTGTCTCAGTAGCGCACAGCCCTATTCTGGGCAGTCTACATATAAAAAGAGCAAAATGGCACAAGCAAAGTAAAATATAAAATCCAACCAATAACAACAAAAGAAATAGACCAGATATTAAGCCCTAATGGTACCACATATCTGAGCATCAATAGTTACCACTCTGGAAATTCCTGGGCCTGAACCCTTTTCATGACTGAATTCCAGTTTTAAATCATAAACAAAGTAGACAAACAGCCCATGAAGTCTGGTCACTGTTATATACACAAAGTTCATAAGTGACACTTTTCCCTATTTCTTGTATGCAAATAGTGGGACGGCTCAGTGGTTTAGGTATCTGACTGCAAAGCCCATGGTTGGGGGCTCAATTCCTGTGTTTCCTGTGAGAAGAGCCAGCCTGTGTGGCCTTGGGCAAGCTGCACAGGCCCAGAATGTCCCAGAAGAAGTACTCTTTACCTACAAAACCTTGTAAAGGCACAATTATTATTATGTCTGTAAAACAGATGAAAAACTATACTGACTGAATGTGCGTTCAATTATTACACAGTTCTTAACTTTTCTCTCATGTAGATTACTAAAATCAAAGGTACAACCCATTCAGTTCTCTTTCAACAACTTATAGCCAATCCCTCCCCCTTGCCCTATCCCCAGCAAAGTTACTATCTGCAAGAATTGGAAAAGGAAACAATAAGCAAATGAAAACGAATGACAGTTGAGTTGACCTTCATTTTCATTTAGGGCCTACACAATTGTTACCCAGAATAATAAACCATGAAGGGCAGTGAACGCTAGTCTTGTTTTCTTACAGTGCTCCGGTAACTTTAAACTTGACCTTTTCATATAATACTGGTGATCCTGGAGCAATTTTATCAGTACCCAAAGGAGAAGCCCAGGTTTAAAATAGCAATGTCACCATGTAGTTTTAAATCCTCCACAGATGCAAGGACTCGCATAAGGGAGGCGTGTTCCTCAGATGCAAAGGCTTAATCGATGCTTTCTACTTCTTTATTTCGAAGAATATATCTAATTTGAAAACACTGCACAAAAGGATTAACCTCAGAGGGTTGTTTTGAGGATAAAATGTGTGGGACAAGGGAACTGTGTACCATTCTGAGTTTCTTGGAGGAAGAGCAGAAAATAATATTAATTTTAAAATGTACTATTGCTATTCACACTAGTTCTGATATCAAAAATATGTAGCCAAACAATACTTCATTCCTCCCTCCCACACTGTTGCTCCTTTCAACATGGATGAGAAGGTGTTTCTTGCTTAATTTCTTGAACCCCATTCTGAGTATGTGACAGAACCAGCTTTAAGATGACAGATTTTGAGTATCAAGGGATTATCAGTAAAGGGTGAATTACGTATAGCACAAACCAAAGCATACTTACCCTGAAGAAGATCTCATTCACTGTATTTAGTGGCCAGTATTTTGGATTGTGGTGCTGCAGGAGACTCTTGAGAGTCTCATGGACTGCAAGAGAACAAGCCTACCAATTCTGAAGGAAATTAACCCTGAGCACTCACTGGAAGGACAGATCCTGAAGCTGAGGTTCCAGTACTTTGGCCATCTCATGAGAAGAGAGGACTCCCTGGAAAAGACCGTGATGCTGGGAAAGTGTGAGGGCAAGAGGAGAAGGGGACAGCAAGAGGAGGAGATGGATGGAGAGTGTCACCGAAGAGACCAACATGACTTTGACCAAACTCCGGGAGGCAGTGGAAGACAGGAGGGTCTGGCGTGTTCTGGTCCATGGGTTCACGAAGAGTTGGACACGACTTAATGACTAAACAACAAATGGAACAGGCTGCTTCCACTGATAGAAATGCATTCATTAGCAAAATCAGAAGGCATAAACAATGCTTCCAGTAGGCCCTCCATTACACTCCAAAGCCTGTAAAAAATGGCTGCAGAATTTACCAAACTGATTTTTGGGCAGAGTACAGGGTGCAAGGGATAGGGGAAAAAAGTTCCACCACACTACTTGTTGGGCGTTACATAGCACTTGATTTCTGCCAGTGCCAAATGCTTCCAGGTAAACACACAGGTTTGCGATTACTGCC